AAGCATTTCTGTTCCCCCTCCAGGATGAAGCATAAGTTGTCTTTTCCTCACACACCTGGTGTACACTGTCCAAAAGATACCTCTCTGGCTGCTGGCCCAGAGGTTGTATGAGGAAATGCCCAACCTGTTTTTCACATTTCTCCACAAAGGTCTTGTGTTTCTGTTCCCTCACCTCTGCTTCCTTCTCAGGCTTGGCACTGACCATAAAAAACCATCACATCAAAACTAAACAAACCAGTTTTATAGTTTCCTTAAGCACAAAAGCACTAAACAATAGTATATGTGTGCTTGAAAGTGAACTCCTGTGCACCTCTTCCAGCTGCTGGCCCTCCTGCACTCCTCACAAGGTACTCTGCTCCTCAGACACTGCTGTGCCTCAGCCATCTCCAGCAACTTCCGCTGCAACTGGCACTTACAGCAGCCCCAGGCAAGATGTTCTGTCTCTTCTGAAACTGGTCCAAGTGCTCAACTCTCTTAAATTTATTTGAAGTGCAGTTACTAAGGTCTTTAGATCTATCATACCTAAAATATTTGTACATTCTACTTCAGACATACTTCTATGTCACTTTCGTTTATGCTCAATATATTAGACATTCCAACAAACAAAAGACCCTGGATAACTAAAGCAAACTTGAGGGAAAAGAATAATGTTCATATCTGTATCAGGTTCTAACATAGGACCAGAGTAAGAAAAACAGCAAGTATCTGGCACAAAAGCAGATGTCCCAACTACTATGGAAATCCTCATGAAGTTACTTAGCCCGTGAAAAACTGATTCACCCTATGATACACTATACTACTCCGGGTGTTTTCCCAAAGGACTCCAAGTCAGCACATTACAGAGACACCTGCATATCAGTGCTCAATATACATCTAGCTACAGTAGCTAAGTTATGAAACCAATCCAGGTATCCTACAAAAGAAAAATGGATTAAAAAAAATGAGTCACATCTATATAATGGAAATATTTATTTAGCCATAAAGAGAATGAAATTGTGTCATTAGCAGGAAAATGGCTGCAACTACAGAAAATCATATTAATAAGTTCAGCCAGTTTCATAAAAATAAAAATAGTATGTTTTTTTTCTTATTTGTGGTTTACGCATTTTAAAGGTTAAGGGAGTCATACTCAAATGTGTGATATAAAAGTAGAAACAAAGGTGCTCCAGGTATTTCCAGCCCATATGGACAGCTCTGAATGCAGCTAAATGGAAAGACATATACTTAGTTACCGACAGCACTGTGAGAATTTTTATTTTGCAACTTTTTTCTATAGTAATTGTGAGATTCTTAAATATGAACTCTGTAGGTTACAATAATGTATTAAAATGAAAAAAAGGAAGGGAAACCCCTCTTGGGGGTACAGAGAGATACAGGAGTAAGGTTACAAAAGTAATGGGAATGTGATGTAACAGCCTCACCATACAACGTATTCTTGTATCAAAGTTTTCGTGTAATATTTTATCAGGCAAACTGACTAACTTAAATCCTACATACTCTGCACAGTCTAAATATATACAGCTCTCTTGCAAGCAGTGACTTTGCTCACTGAAGTGAAGTGTGTGAATGTGGCTGGGTTTTGTTTGCATTTTTTTCTTAATCTAAATTTCTAGTAAACCCCTGTTTACTAAAGAGTTTTGCAAAGAGTTTTGCAAACACAAACTGTTGAACAATAACTGTACTTTGTATTTCCAACTGACAAAATTCATGTGTGCTCATGAATTTACAATCTTCATTAAATAATGGTTAGGTGTATACAGAGTTCTATAACTTAATATAATACTTTCTCATGCCATGCCCACAACTAGAGGTATTTCTTGTATAAATGCCAAACTTCAGTGAAGACACTCCATACCCTACATCCAGGTACTACTTGTAGAAGGAGTACAGTGACTTAGGACTTCTTCTCATTGTTACCACTGTTATAACAGAACATGCCAAAAAGAACCAAATGATACATTTCTAATTTGTAAAGCTGTTCAACATAATGCTGGCTCCTTTCTTAGTAGAAGAACTATATATATATAATACTTAGATCTTTCCCCTTCCATTATGTGCTCCTAGGAAGTTCTTATTGATTCTGAATTTTACTTATATTAATGATACTGTATTAATACTTATATTATTTATCAATTTCTCATCTTTATATATATATATTGTTGTCACTGCACTTAATATCATTTAATTAGTGCTTAAGAAAAGTTATTTCACAGTGTGGGAAGCAGTTCACTGGTAAAGAACACCCAGGGGTCCTACGTTCAGTTCCCAGAACCCAAATAGCAGCACAACAACAACAAAAAAAAAATCTGCGGTTCCATTTCCATGGGAGTATACATACATAGATGCAGACAAACACTCTATGTATGAGTATGTCTGTGTGTGTGTGTACATATATATGTACATATGTTGAGCAATATGTATATATACATATGTATATATATGTATATACATGTACTTTAAACTTTAAAACTATATACAGCAAACAGATTGCCAATATCAATTTAAATGGAGAAAAACTCGAAGCTATTCCACTAAAATCAGTGACAAAGACTAGTTTACGCACTCTCTCCATGCTTCTTCAATATATTACTATGAAGGATGCTCTGCTAAACTTGCAGACGGGCGCCTGACAGAGTTGTTCTCTGACAGGCACTAACTAGCAGCACCTCAAAACAGATAAGGAGGTTCACAGCCAAACACTGGGTAATGTATAGGGCATCTTGTGGGAAAGTGGGAAGAAAAAGAAAAAGAAAAGAACCTGGAGGTGACAGGAGCTTCACAAGAAGACCAACAGAGCTAATGAACCAGGGCCCAGAGGGACTTGCTGAGACTGAAGCATCAACCAAGAAACATGTGTGAACTGGACCTAGGCCCCCTACACAGATGTAGCAGGTGGGTAGCTTAGGCCTCATGTGGGTCCTCTCCTATGGGAAGCAGGGACTGCATTAGACATGGACTCACTTTCCAACGACTTTTTGATCACTTCCCCCGGGGCGGGACTATCTTGCCAGGCTACAGGGGAAGAAGACAAACTCAGCCCTGATGCAACTTGATGAGCTGGGCTGGTTGGGAAAGGGATCTGAGAAAGCGGAAAAGGAAAGGCCAAACTGGGAGGAGTGAGAGAGTGGGACTGTGAGGAGAGGAGAGATGGGCTACAACAAGGATGTAAAATGAATTTAAAGAAATAAAAAAATGAAAGAAAACAAGGTTCTCTAAATCAACATGGGCAAAGCTCCTATGAACTCACCAAAACGGAGGCAGCATGAATAGTGCCTACATAACAGGTTCTCTGTGCTTATATGACTTCCAGTTTAGTGTTTGTATGGGATTCCTGAGTGTGGAAGCAAGTGGGTCTCTGAGATATGTGTCTTTTCTTCAGCTCTTTTCCTTCTGTTTGCTTGTCTTGTCCAACTCTGATATGTTTTACTAGTAATCCTTAGAACCCTGTATGTTTTCTAATGTGAGAAAGGGATCCAGATGGGAGGAGAGATGAGAGGAAGTGGGAGGAATAGAGGTCCTGGGAGCAGTAATCAGGACATATTATGTGAGAAAGAAATCTATAAAGGGGGGTAGGACTGGTATAGGGGGAGAAGTGGCTATACTAACACCAATTCATATCTAGGCCTACTGAAACAAAGAAAACTAAATGGATACAAGACAGCAGCATGTAATGTCACTGTGACAAAAAAAAAAAAAAAAAAAAAAAAAAAACAGCAAGACTCTTCTAAGTATTTTGGTTCTTAAAAATCACCAGGAACAAAAAGATCTTTAAAAAGAATAATTTTGTTACTTACAAGTCTACAATAAAGCAAAATAAGAAAACAAAAACATGAATGTAAAAAGGCTTAAAGAATATTTTAATATTTTGTGTTATTCTTCCATAAAAATCTTCACATTAATTTAAACATTAAACTTAAAAAAGCAGCAATGCTTTAAATTAAGATATATGTTCCTCAAACATTATCAACTTTGATTTAATTTGTTTGTTTGTTTGTTTGTTTTCAGACAGAATTTCTCTATGGAGCCCAGGCTGTCCTAGAACTTACTCTGTAGATCAGACCTAGACCTCAGAAATCTGACTGCCTCCAAAATGCTGGAATTAAAGGCATGCACTACCAGTGACTGACTCAACTTTGATTTATAATGTATAAGTTTGTCTCACCTCCAAATAGTCTAAAATTGTATAACTCCGAATGTGATATAAATAATCTACCCATACTTAACCAAGTATCCTCATTAAAAACTAATTCATAGGAATCAATGCTATATCTTGCCTAAAATGTATCTATTTCACAGCAAAATAGAAATCAGAATATATGATAAGTCAGTGTCAGTGGTTTTGTGACAGGAGCACACCTATTACCCCGTTCTTTACACAATACTAGGAACAAATAAATGCACATGCATAAAATGAGTGACCTCAATAGGACACAGCATTTGACAATGCTTCTTCCTCTAACTCTCTAACCCATGTTACCCTTTCCAACAAATCATTTTTATTGAAGATTTATGTATTTGTGTATTTTATGTGTATGAGTGCTCTACCTGCATGTAAGTCTGCATGCCAGAAGAGGGCATCAGATCCCATTATAGATAGTTATGAGCCACCATTTGGTTGCTGTCTGGAACAGCAGGGAGTGCTCTTGCCTCCTGAGTGCTCAAGCACTCAGCCCTTGAGGAGTCATTTTGGATGATCATAATATAATGTACATATTTCACAATCTGAGATGTCAAATACCATTGTAATAAGCAACATACTGTTAGAAAATACTTTTTCAGAACTGATAACTAAAGGCATATCTTTAATATCAAAATACCTTCATTAAAATAAAAAAAAACCATGAAAGGATAATAATTAAAAATAGAAAGAATAGATGAAAAGAACAATCACAGTAACCACTTAACCACACTGAACAAAAATTTTCACTAAATTAAGTAGTTACAGTAGACTGTACAATAAAACATTTGCAGAGAACTTGTAATAATATGGTTATTCCTACCTTATAACCAGGTCCTAGCTGATGAACTGCAAATATCTGTGCTGGGTTAAGAGCTTCACTGAACACATACACAGCCCCAAGCTGGCCACAGAATACCCTATTGGCATCAGCAGTTTCTGAAGATCCAAGAAAGCACTTGTCATAGCTCTATTTTTAAAAGTCACAAAAAATAAATTATTATTTTGTAATGACAGAATATTTAAGAATGCATTTCTTCACTAACGGGAATACTTTAAGATACCAATAATAAAGAAAAGCATTGTTTAATTTATTTTTCAACTATTTCAATAGTAACAGTCAAATAATAAGTTCTAGAAGAATAAAGTTAGCTAAATAGGAATTAAACGCACAAGCATCAATTGCATCTTCAGATCTGACTATATGTTCAAACTGTAACACTAAAGGCAAATTTTGTAACTGTTTCTAACTGAATTTCATAATTCAGAAAACAAATTATACTTTGTTTCATGAAAAAAACTAATTTAAATTGTTAATAATTTACAACTGAACAAATTTAGAGAGCTTAAAAGAATGATTTGCCAAATCTTAACTATGAACTTTGCCAAATCTTAACTATGAAATCCATAGGATTAAATGTTTTAATTCTACTTTCTTTCTCCACATGGATACACCACCCTCTTTTTCTATAAATCAGCAATGATGAAGAATTTCTTCTTATGAGTAGAGATTATACAGAAGCAAAAACACAATGACTCAATTTGCTGAATATAACGTTCACCTAAAAGATCTCCCATCCAGAAAGCCTGGATGTAGATCCTTTCAATGCCACCCAATAAAGCAGAGACAGCAGTTACTGCTCACTGTCCTCCCTGATCTCCACAGGTTATCCCACACCTCAATTGAATAAGCACACCAACATTCAGCTATCAATTAGGCAGAGCCAGAAAAATCAGTCACTAGGCAGACAGATCTATCAAATATGAAATCCCACTTGTGCTTCATAAAATAACAAAAATATACATACATACATACATACATACATACATACATACAATAACAAAAATACATACAATAACAAAAATGTAAATGGAATACAAAAGCAAGAACTTATTAAAAATGCAAGTGTAACTTAAATTGTGGAAATTAAAAATTACTACTACGTAAAGCGCGTGTATATAACCAGGCTTTTGTATTTCCTGAAGTAATACCACAGAGAATTTTAAATCTCCCATTGTTGTTTTGTTTTTTGTTTTTTTTAAATAGTGTCTTTTCAGCTAATGTCAATCAACAAAACTAAAGGGGCTTCCTTCATATGTTAGTAATAAAGAGACTGAATCCTCCTGCAACATCAGAAAACAGACAGGTAGCAGAATTTCATTTCTGTGTTTTCATCTGCCTATAGTTCCACTATAAGTCAGCTGAGCCGTAGAGCAAACTTGTCCTATAAAGGCACAGGTAGGAACATTCTAAGTTCTGAATGTTCCAGGCAGCTTCTGTGAATATTCATATTGATTTGCTCTGCTATTGTTGTTGTGTCTTTTAAAAAATGTTCTTAGTGAAAATCCAAGACTCTTAACTTCTAGGTCATACAAACACAGAGTAAAGTCAACTTGGCTGGGTCAGGACAGCTTATCATCCACTGATCTACAGACAGACTAGAGACAATGTAAAAAGTCTCATCCATTTAAGATGAAACAGAAAAAGAGAATATCTCATAACCCCTGCCCTCAAACAGATTGAAATTAAAGAATATGCAGACAAATTTTAGAAGTAGATTTTAGTTTTGTTTTGTTTTAAAGCCAGTCATTATTATTACAACCAGGCACGCTGGAAGGTTTGTATATCACTGACCTTAAAGATACTATAGACACTAAAAACCATGTTTTACTTTGGCCCTAAAATGCCAGGAGGAAGGAAAAGAAAACCCAAACTACAGAAATGGGAAGATTCTTGAGATTTCAACCCTATGTCTTCCCTATCCAGAATCTCGTGTCAGCTGCTCCAACAATACCACACAAAGTGAAGAAAGTCTCTCACGTCATGATGACGGCATCCCGTATGTAATCTACCTTGTGTATGCACAGTCCTTTTCTGTCATGGAATTCTCAGCACTGTGTCAGATTGAGGATTTGGGAGGGGGAGAAGTTTGGTCTTGCTTTGTTTTGTTTTGTTTTGTTTTGTTTTGTTTTGAGTTATGAGACAGAGTTTCTCTGTGTAACTCTAGCTGTTCTGAAACTTACTTTGTAGACCAGGCAGGCCTTGACCTCAGAAATTCAACTGCCTGTTTCCCAAATGCTGAGATTAAAAGTATTCACCACCACATGCAGCCAGACTGAGATTTTTATAATACAATTTTGCAAGCTTTTTGTCCTGTGTCAAAGGGCATACCCAGACCTGTGTTTACATGTGAGGCACCTACATGGCTTGACCCCAGGGCACCACATAATCGCATCTTATTTTTACCTTTTTAAATAACGTTAAATCATATGCCTGATATTTGCATACTATATTTAATAATTAAATATAAATTATAAGAATATAAATTAATTTAAGAATTGGCCTGCTCTTTGATCACCTCCCTCTGAGGGGGGAGCAGCTTACCAGGCCACAGAAGATGACAATGCAGCCACTTCTGATGAAAACTGATAGACTAAGATCAGAAAGAAGGAGAGGAGGACCTCCCCTATCAGTGGACTTGGGGAGGAGCATGCATGCAGAAAGGGGAGGGAGGGTGGGAACGGGAGGGGAGGAGGGGCTTATGGGGAATACAAAATGAATAAAGTGTAATTAATAAAAGTTAAATAAAAAATTAAAAAAAAAACTTTGGTTAAAGTAATGATACCCCCCCAAAAAAATTAGATATAAACTAATAAAACCTTTCAAACAAAAATTTGCATGTTTCTACCAAACAGCCATTATTTATATTACAGTGAGGAACCATATAGTAAAATACATTTAAGAAATTTAAACTTACATCATTTGTATTAACATGCCAAGCCATGTCACCATAGGATACCAGCTGGCCATTGACATAACAGCGGATCTCACTGTTCCTCCATCGATTGTAGATGTGGACGATGCTGATCATGTACCACTGCAATACAACAACTAGGATGTCAAAGATCACATATAGTTACTACTCTCTAAAATGCAATCATAGCCTTTGTACTTCCCTACAAGAAATATCAAGGACTTTCCATCTCATGTCCCTTCCTCCCATTTATTATGACTCTAATGAAAGGCCAGGGAACTCCCAGCCCCCAACACTGATACAGAGAAGCAATAGCTGCTTATGAACTGATGGAGAGGTACTCAACAATTGAAGACAATTATTAAAAAAAAAATCACTGTGTGAATAAACTTCATCTCAAACCTTCAGCATGGAAAGGAAATGCTGAATGAACAAGAGCGAAAGAATGTTGCAAATAAAGGGATGCTCCAAAGTTCAGCACAGAGGCTTGATGAAAACTTTCTCAGTATTTAGATGCTGTTAACATCTGTAGCAAACTGGGTTTTTGCTTTTGCATAATGGTTTATCTCTAAAACATTATGAGAAACATGAGTTGATTACCATTATAGTTTTGAAAGATAACTGACAGCAGATCTGAAGAGTAACTGCCAGGCAAGTGCGGATGCAAATAAGCCTGTAAAGCTTCCAGGAGAAAACCATAAGAACATGGGCTAAGACAAGTGCAGTGATAAGTGATAAGGAGGAGTTAACTTATGGCACTGATGGAATCACTGAGTCAGAAAACTAATTTTCAATGATGTCTTATATTTCACTTAAATGAACCATTAACTTGTTTATTTAATAAAACGTAATGATAAGGTCTATAGTTTTAAAAAAAATCATTTATTTTGGGTCATAAGTATAACAAATAATAAGAAACATGACTATAAGAATGTAATTTTTATATAAAAATTACATTTATGTATTCATATATATTTTTGGATCAACTGGATAAGCTAATCTCAGTCAAGCTACATTTAATTTTCTGTTTCTTGGGACAATCAAAATGCAACAGATGCAAGTGGGTTTTCACCAATTTAAAGGACCCCAATATTTGACTTGATATTTTCAACTTAAAGATAGTAACAGATCTGGACAGTGCATATGCATACTGACACTAACCATCTATTGTGGCCTACATTCAATTTGAGATCCAAAAATTAATATGTAAAAGTATACAACAATAAGAAAAATACATATACTGATACTAAAAATTGCTGAGGTATATATTATAACTTAAAGAAAATAAATGAGAATGAAGAAAAAGAGACAACATAATATTTACACAAATATCACGAGGTGCCACGCACTGAACACTTTCTATAAATGAGGTAAAATGCCAATGGTCACTCTCATTCTAACAAGGTCAGACACCTCTTAAATGGTGCCAGAGGCAAACAAACGTTTTAGTGTGCAAATCTTATTAGAAAAGGCAAGTAGCCCACTTTCTGAGGTATAGTTTTCTCTAATTGAAGAAAAAAATTAAAGAAAGAAAAAATTTAAATATTATTTTTCCATAATAATAAATAACAGTAAGGCCAAATAATTATGATTTTTATTTCCAAGGATTATTAGAATATTCTAAGAAAAAAAAAAATGAGCCTGTTTCATTCCTGTGTCCCACTCCTCATGAGACCCTTTGCAATCACTATATTTAAAATGCTAGAAAAAACAGGAGTGCATTTTCATAGACAAATAGGAATAAACAAATAAAACGAGAACAAATAGATTAAACTGCTTTTATGGACCCACAATAGTAAAGAACTACTGATCTAGATTGATGAAACTTATGTCTTTAAAAAGAAAAAGTCTTTTTTTTATTTGTAAAAATCATTTTTTTTTTTTTTTGCTTTGTCTACATGAGTATCTATGTGAGGGTGTCAGATCCTGTAAAACTGGAGTTAAACACAGTTTGTGAGCAGCCATATGAATGCAGGGAATTAAACCCAGATCCTCTGGACATACATCCGGTGCTCTTAATTTCTAGGCCATCTCTCCAGGTCCTATTTAAGTCATATTTTCTTAGAGTTACTCAATATATTACAGTCTACTGAATTCAATACTCTATCAGGCACTGGGAAAATGAAAAATAAATCCGTCACAGATTTTGGTCTCAACAATCACTAAATGGGCATATAAATGAATAATGAAGATTTGAATAAAATAATTATATCTGAAAATAACATATATCAAGGTAGACAAGCGGGTGAAGCTATTTCATATAGTGGTTACCTAGCATGCAAGTGTCTTGCAGGCATGCATGCAAATTGGTTGGATCCCCATGACAGAGGGGGAAAGGGAGATAGGAAACCAAGAAAAAGACTACACATTAATGTTGCATGAAGCAGAACATTCTGATAGGATATGATCTGATGACTGGGATAAATGTACTTCACTCACATAATAAAGCACATGGATAGAATTTTCAATATATATTGTAGTTCCTAAAAAGTAAACCCTTACCTTAAGTAAATGCATATCCTCATGAATCTAAGTCTAGGATTAGTGTACAAAACAGTTTAGGAAAGAAAACTAATCATTTAAGATGAAGAGAAAGCAATGTAAAAAAGTTAAACAGCAAATAATAAAATTTTAGAAGAAAATAGATTTCAGAGATATAACAGATAGTACTGAAAATTAATCAAAAAGAAGAAGAGCATGCCCCAATTATTATGAGGATGGCAGATCTCTAAATCAGAGGACTTCAGCACCTGTGTGAATACAGACCTGGAGAAAGGCAAGTTAGTATTTTATATTCTGAGATCTGGGAGTGGAAAGATAGTCAAGTGTCAACATCTCACCTCCAAAGAACAGAGCACTGAAGAATAAGAGTAGAAGAAATTGTACAACTGGATAAAAATCCCAGTAAGATGTAAACGCAAAGAAGTGAGATGTTTCCTGTTCTGTCCACTGTCATATTCCTAGTTATACAGGCATGTGCCTGGCAAATATTCAGCACATACATCCTGGAAGAATGCCACAAATTAAACCAGACTTAGAGCATGGACAAGAGTGAGAAAACAACAGAAGAGATCAAAAGATATCTCACAAAAGACAAAAATTAGACATAAAGGTGAGAAGAAAATACAGGAACGAGGAAAGCATGGAGAGTCAGGAGAAAAGTGAAAGAATATTACAGATGTTAGAGCTGCAAAGCCCTGAGACAAGGTGACTGGCAACTGACATGACTTCCAAGGGGAACAAGCATCTACTCTGCCCTACCTTGCGTGGTTGGAAATCATACTTCACACAGTGCTGGAAACCTTTTCCTTTGGACTTCAGAGATGTGACTATCAAACAGTTGCCAACAAAATGAGCAGAGTAACCAACTCCTTTGCTAGTACGAAAACTGTATTAATACAAGAATACAAAAATCTGGTTAAAAGAAACACAGCAATGCCTACTAAAACCTTACACAATGAAACTGAATTCTCTGTATAGTCATACTTAACACATTGGCCAAACAGAGACTAAAACATAAGATTTACGATAACTAAAATAATAAAAAATTTAACTCAAAAATAATTGGACATGGAAATTATATTCACATGTAAAATACCACAGACATAAAACAAATTAATGATCCAAATATTTACTGGGCAGACTTCAAGTACTGTGAAGGCCCACTCAAAACTCATTTCAACACAGTTCATGTTCTCAGTAACAACCTGGTCTCTAATTTACTAGGCCTGTCAATAGATCTTACCAAAAAAAAGAGCTGATTTTGCCAATAATGTGATTGATCAAATACAAATGTATATATATACATATATACAAATAGATGTATATATATATACATATATATAATACATATATACACATAGATTAATATATATATTAATCTAAATAAGCACACGGTTACTAAACAATCTTATTTGGTTATAATTTCTCGTATGGCCACTGTTATTTTTAACCTCTATGTGAATTATGCTTATAGAAATTAAAGAAAAAGTAGTCAAACTCTGATGGGAACTGGTGTCTTACTTCCTACATCAGCCAGTAGAAATCCTATGATCCCTCTAACAGACTTATCTTTGATTCTTATATTGCAAGTGAAAGAAAAAATTAAAATGTGAATACACTTAGAATCATTAGTAAATAAATAAATATTAGCTATATAAATTTTATAACACAGTGTATAATTTCAAAATTCAAGTACATAAAGACAAAAGTCCAATAATTTAGTATACAACTTACCAATAAAGATAAGGTTTATCCTTATCAACATTAATGTTATTTAATGGATCCATACGAAACCAAGTGTTGAGGGTGAAGCCATTCTGATAAGGCCACTTTGCAATAGGAGGCAATGCAATTGCCTACAGGACAATAAAAAAGGGTAAATTATCACTTAAATGAAATACAAAGTCACTCTGGTCAAATTTCCCTTCCCCCGAAAATCAACTACTACTATTTCACTTAAATAATTTTCATTTGCTGTCTGTTGAGGCAAACGGTGGGTTAAATACCATTTCCAGCTTGCTCAGCATGCTCCACATGGTTCTCCAAACCCCTCCTTTAATGTCTACAATATAAACACACGTGCCTGACAAACACACCACATAATTTTCTGATTCTGACTCCTTATGCTAGTTTTTAGTAGGACTTCATTGTTTTTTAAATAAAGCTGGAATAGTTTTAGCTGAGAAAACCTGTCCTGAATAGTGTTAATGGAGTGAGGAATAACTCTAAAGCACAGTGAAGCCAACCACCATCAGTAAACAGGGCTTGGTGATGCATGGCCCTAATCCTAGCATCAGGAAAGCTGAGGCAGGATGACTGTGGGGTGGAGGCCTCCAGCCAGGTCTACATAACAAGATTGTCTCAAGCCTCCTCCCTAACAACAACAGCAAAATTTTACCATTTTATTCACAGGGCAATCTAATAGCAAATAAACTCAGATAACAGAGAGACAGGTAAATATGTACATGAATCTAAAGCTTACCGCAGCACTACACCCAGGGAAATTGAAAAATGTATCAGGACCGTGTCTTTGAGGCATCTGATTAAGAACTGACAATAATTTTACTGCATGCCTTGGCTGGAAAAACAAAGAAATAGTCACTACACAAAGTTAGCGATAATACCTAGTAATCCACATTTTAATCAATGGACTGATTGGTAATTATTAAAAAAATTACATTTAAATGATTTATTAAATAGCCTAAGAAGGAAATAGTTACCATTACTAATTCATATTTATGGCTCTCCAGTGACAATCCCTTGACCATTAAGTACTAACAGACTGTACTAAAAACCCCTCCCTCTGACCACAGCTTACCCAGATTCCACTTTCTCCTCGAAGCATGCTGAATAAAAGCTTCAGCTCCTTGACAGTGATGCTGTAGCTTGCAAGAACCCCCAGCATATCAACTAGAAGATCTACAAAGGAGAATACAGTTACTCTCTACTCTAGGCATGAGCTCATCTCTCAAGGTTCTGTACTTTTGAGGTGCAGGAAGTCAGTAAATGTTACTTCTGCTTACAAATCTAACATGCCTCAGTGTCTTCACTCATGCCTGTTCTGATTCATAATACAAACACAGAGATTTGTTACAAGTAGAAAAACGGAGGTAAAAATACTCAAAGGTAGCAAGGCTTTGCATTGCACACAGGCTGTTTTCAACTGGAAACTGGCAGTTAACCAACAAAACATGGTAGTGAAACATTTAGTCTCGGGGAATTAACATCTCTGAGCATTTACTCCACATGGGACACTATGTTAAGTGTTAAGTATGTACTAGTATCAGAAACCCTCAAAATCAGACTGTGAGTTTGTAAATACATCATCTGCTTTTAAAATTGATAAGTTCTACACCAAATTACTTAGTCACACTGCCCAACTGTGTGCACAGCAAATAGCAGTCAGTATTCAAACCCATGCAGTATGTATGGTTCCAGAACTCTTCCTGTCACTAACATGAAAGTGGGTCTAATTTAAACAAAGTGCTACAGATATTCACTCTGCTAATGGGAATGCTTACGAATGTGTAGTGCATACAACGCACCAAATAATGCGAAAAATTATTCTGGTATCTGATAACTTTATCTTTACCTATGATTAATATTTCTCTCAATATTCCTTGCAAGAAATTAAACATCTGAATATTGATACATCTTAGATTCTAAAGTACTTATGTCATATGCAAGTTAATACAATACATATACACACATATATACACATATATATGAAACTAAAACTTATCACCAATTAATATACAAGGCTAGGTTAGGATAGACAGAAATGATTAATTATCACCAATTATTCTTAGGGTAGATTAGGGTAGACAGAAATGATATATTTTTATTATAAAATCTATAATGTCAAATACCAAAGATTAAAGATTGGTATTTGGAAAATCACATTATTTACGTATTTCAAAATCCAATATGATTATCATCAGCAATAAGTAATTCATTATCTTTCACTTATTAGTAAAAGGAATGAACAATCTCTATGGTAAAATTTTGGCAGTGTCTATGGCATTCTTGAGAAATCTTTAAATAAAACAAGATGCCACATTAATTAAATAATTAAAATGTATGACAATGTTAGATCATAAAATCAAGCTCCTTCCTAAGAGAAAATTCTATATAAAAATAAAGAAGCAGCCAGGAGATGATGGCACATGCCTTTAATCCCAGCACTTGAGAGGCAAAGGCAAACAGATCTCTGTGAGTTCACAGCCAGCATGGTCTACAAAGGGAATTCAGGACAGCTATGGCTACACATAGAAAGTCTGTCTCAAAAAAAAAAAAAAAAAAAAAAAAAAAATTAAAAAGAATAAAAGCTAGAATCTTTTAGCCAAAATAGCTATCACTGAAGATTTCTTAAATATTTACATAAAATATTTTGTAAAATATCAACTTTGTATTTACAATTATTGGGATGAATGAGACAAAATTTGTTTTGAGTTACTTTAAAATTTTTTATATGTTGTGTTATAATTTGTAGATTACACATAAGTAAGCAGTTTAATTTTATTTTACTATGGCAGATAACTTTTCAACAACAAAAATCTGAAAAAGAAAAAAACTACGACTACTATAAAAATTGTTATCAATTTATTACAAATATTTACGCACATTTCGGTGATGAAACTGTTAACTTTAAGAGTACCTCTGTTAACTTAACCCACTGCAGCACTCAAAGACGGGAACGTAATAAAGTGCCGTACTCGTTCAAATTCTCAGTAAGGTTCCCACATTTAATTTCTCTCCTGTTAAGCAGCATGGCTTTTTTTTCTTTCAAAACACTCATTACTTTTACTTTTGCTAATATCTTTCGGCTACAAGGTCCTTTGGGAAGGACCTTGGGAAGAAAAGATAAGATTATTTAAGAACTTGATATATGACATAAAATGCTTAACATGCCCTCACTGGTTTCTTATCACAGTGCTCATGATGAATTAAGTTCCAATAACTACTATAAACCACTATGCATATTCTGGGCATGCCTCTAAACTATTCTCTAAAGTAGTAGCCACTTAAAGAAAAACAAACAAAAACAGGTATTTATCTCAGGTAACAGGATTGAAAACCATGATGTTCTATACAATATATACTACTGCATTTATACAGACAAACACTCACATTTATCCAAGTTTCTGTAAAATAACTCTGAGCATTGAGAGTAATTCAAATTTAATCTCATTTTTAATGTTAGTTATTCATCTATAACCATGTTCAACAGAAATACATGCCACTTCGTAAGCAATTAGACATGATCTCAAAACAGTAAGAAAACCAAAATTTCAAAAATGTGTTCAAAATTACTGTTCATTTCCTTCTTTCTTAATATTTTATTCTAAATATTTAAAAATTAAAGTCTATAGGTACTTTGAAAAGATACACTCTGCTAATTCTTCAGGTGCCAGGTACAGTAGATTGGAGACATGGAACTGCAGTAACTTGGTAAACGGCTGATATTTTAAATATGTCATAGTTGAGTTATATGTAACAAAAAAGATACTGTTTATTTTTTTGATAATTTTTCTATTGTACTTACTCCATAGTACCAAGGTTCTTTTAAAACTTGGGGAAGAAAAAACTATTAATTATGATTGCACAGTACAACTTTGTTTTTTCTTCTAGTCTGTGCATTTCAATTAACATAAAAGGCAATTTGTCCATACATTCCTATTTTATATTTTAAATCAGGGCAATTTCTACAAATCTGTTTTCACTGTAGAATATAAAGTACACGAGACTATATAACTATTTAAATCTTAATTTTCTACTAGGCCATGCCATACCTGCTATCATGTCATCTACAGCACTCATTTTCAGCAATACTTGCTCAATTAGCCCCACTTCTGTGCTGGTCTGTAAATTCCGAACACTTTTTCGCAGGATGGCTGTAAACATACTCCATATTTCTGCTTGACATGTTACATCACAGTGTTCCAAAAGCTCTGTCATACATGTTATGCTCTCAGCATCCTGGATAATAAAGTTCATCTCCAAATCAAATTCCCCACCAACCAGCTGAAAGCAAACAAGAAAAAGAAAAGTAAACAGAAATGACATGGGAGGTTTTTTCCAACATTCACTTTAGAACAATATCATACAATCAATTATCAGGGAACCATGAACACTAAAAATGTCCTAAATCATTTGCATACAGCAAATTTTGGTCAAAGATTGAGAGTTACAAATATAAGAAATGAAAGAGAAAACACTGACCTATTTTTTTACAGAGGCGGAAGAAAAACAGTAAAATCAAATCTAGAGAAATACACCAACTACAGCAAATGATTATGGGGGCAAGGGAATTCAGGACAAATTCCCCTTTAAAAAAGATCAGAAGAGACAGAGTATCTAAGAACAAATACTAAGACAAAATTACCTTTCATTTTTATATTACTGAAATTATAGAGAAAAAAGAGATGGAATAAAGAGGCAGCTTGGCTCAATTTTCACATGGAAAATGATGCATGGACAACTTAGTAGTCAGTGTTGAAGCATTAAAAAAGATTTCTACAAAATATATAATTTTCTTCTAAACCTCAAAAATTAGAAAAGGAAAAAGTAGATTTACTGTCAACATTATGACTTGCAGCAAATGACTCAAGTTACTGCTGTTCCCATCAACATGGTATTTTAAAGACCATTACCAGTCCCACTAAATGCATAGAATTAGATGAACACACCGAGAATAAAATAATATGACATGCTTATTCTCTGTTGACAAAATCATGTAAATTATTACTATGGTGGTTTGAATAAGAATGGCCCCCATAGAGTCCTATAGTTAAATGCTTGGGGAGTGGAACTATTTGAAAGATTAGGAGGTATGGCCTTCTTACAGAACGTTTACCACTGGGTGTTGGCTTTGATATTTCAGAAGCCGGTGCCACTGGTTCTCTCTTCCTACTGCCTACAGGTACAGATAGAGAACTCTCAAGCTACTTCTCCAGCGCCAGATCAATCTGCATGATGCCATGCTCCCTGCCATGATGACAATGGACTAAACCTCTGAAACTATAAACCAGCCCCAATTAAATGATTACCAAAGTAACAGTGGTCATGGTGTCTCTTCACAGCAATAGAACACTGACTAATACAATTATATCCAGTTAGAAACATTTTGTTTTGTTTCGAGACCGGGTTTCTTTGTTAACCCTGGCTGTACTGGACCCACTTTGTAGACCTAGCTGGCAGAATTCACAGAGATCTGCCTGCCTCTGCCTCTCAGGTTGGTACATTACAGACATGTACCAACACACCCAGCTATACTATTTTTATTATACAATGATAAAGTGGATATCCTTTTAGTATCCAAAAGAAAAAATTTAGGAAAAAAAATAACTACTTTTTTTTTTCTTTTTACATTTGATGTATTTCAAAATGCTCATTCAAATACTCATTCATTAAATCCAATACTGTTTTAGGAACTCTTATTTACTGGTAAACAAGAAAAAGTTCATACGCTTCCAGTGGTAAATTTCAGGAAGAAGTGAGTACATGTATTTACTCTATCTTATTAAGAACCAGCAAGCCCATAAAAATATACAAAGGGTGGCTTAAAATAAAGGTAACTGAAAAAGCAAAAGAAATCAAAATTACCAACAGACTGGAAGTAAAATTCAAGTTAAAAAACACATTTTTTACGACTTAAAAACATTCCCAAATCTAGACAAACAGTGTTAACAGGGCAAATGATGATAGCACCATGTCATAGCACTAGCATGGCACCTGTACTGCTTAACTGCTTTATATCTTCTGAGAGTCTATAGTTACCTTCACTTTAGAAACAAAGAATATCAAGCACAGTGTTTAAAAACTTGAAGACAGTCCTAACATAGGTGGGGCTCTAGGATTTAACTGCAGGAAAACTGTCTTTATGAGAGTTCATATAAACAACAAAATCTCATTTAGGAATATCCTAAGTCTTCTAAAATTAAACGTATTTCTCAAATTTTAAAATTTTGTATTAAATGGAAATTTTTAACTTTCAATACAAAATTCAATTTCACATAACCAGCCTAAATTTTGACCTTCGGTTGAACTATTCTCTATTTTCACTTTTGCATCGAAAATAACACTGCCTCTATTATTTCTGAAAATTGCTGCAATAGTGATTATGCAATTCACTCTCAATTCAACCTTCCTGCATTCAGATACTGGCTAAACCACTCACTAGCTATATGACCTTTGTGAAGCTGTTCCTCTAAACCATACTAATCCAACACTGATGGGAGCTCATGTTTGATGGGGCTGTTCTTAGAGTTAAATGACTTAGCATGGGACAGAGCAATCTTGTAGACACAGTGAGTTCCAGGACAGCCAAGAGTACATAATGAACTCTTTTTAAAGGTAGAAAGAAGTGGTTGTACAAGTTTACATTCCCACCAACAGTGAAGGAGGGTTCCCCTTTCTCCACATCCTCTCCAGCATGTGTTATCACTTGAGTTATTCATCTTAGCCATTCTAATGGGTGTTAAAGTGAAATCTCAGGGTCATTTTGATTTGTATTTTCCTGATGACTAAGAACGTTGAACTTTTCTTTTAAGTATTTCTTTGCCATTTGATATTCCTCTATTGAGAATTCTCTGTTTAGCTCTGTACCCCATTTTTTAATTGGATTACTTGATTTGTTAGTGTTTAACTTCTTGAGTTCTTTATATATTCTGGATATTAGCCCTCTGTCAGATATAAGGTTGGTGAAGATCTTTTCTCAATCTGTAGGCAGTCGTTTTGTTCTGACAACAGTGTCCTTTGCCTTACAGAAGCTTTTCAGTTTCATGAGGTCCCATTTATTGATTGTTGATCTTAGAGCCTGTGCTGTTGGTGTTCTGTGTAGGAAGTTGTCTCCTGTGCCAATGAGTTCAAGGCCTCTTCCCTACTTTTTTTTTTTTTTTTGGTTTTAGTATGTCTGGTTTTATATTGAGGTCTTTGATCCACTTGGACTTTAGTTTTGTGCAGGGTGATAAGTATGGATCTACATGTACAACCACTCTGGAAATCAATCTGGTGCTTTCTCAGACAATTAGGAATAGTGCTTACCCAAGATCCAGCTATACCACTCCTAGGCATATATCCAAAAGATGTTCAAGTACACAACAAGGACATCTCTCAACCATGTTTGTAGCGGCTTTATTTGTAATAGTCAGAAGCTGGAAACAGCCCAGATGCCCCTCAGTTGAGGAATGGATACAGAAATTGTGGTACATCTACACAATGGAATATCACTCAGAGATAAAAAAACAAGGAAATCATGAAATTTGCAGGTAAATGGTGGGAATTCAAAGTGAGGTATCCCAGAAACAGAAAGACACACAGGGTATATACTCACTCATAAGTGGATACTAGAATACAATATAGGATAAATATATTAAAATCTGTACACTTAAGGAAGCTAAACAAGGAGGACTCTGGCTAAGATGCTCAATCCCCATTCAGAAAGGCAAAGAGGATGGACATCAGTGGAGGGAGAAAACAGGGAATAGGACAGGAGCCTACCACAGAGGGCCTCTGAAAGGCTCTACCCTGCAGGGTATCGAGGCAGATGCTGAGACTCATAGCCAAACTTTGGGTAGAGTGCAGGAAATCTTATGAAAGAAGTAGGAGATAGTAAGACCTGGAGAGGACAGGAGCTCTACAAAGAGAGCAACATATCCAAAAAGTCTGGGCACAGGGGTCTTTTCTGAAACTGACACTCCAGTCAAGGACCACTCATGGAGATGGCCTGGAACCCCTGCACAGAGGTAGCCCATGGCAGTTCAGTATCCAAGTGGCTTCCAATAGTAATGGGGACAGGGGCTGTCTCTGACAGGAACTGATTGGCCTCCTCTTTGATCACCTTCCCCTAAGGGGGAAGCAGCCTTATCAGGCCACAGAGGAAGACAATGCAGCCACTCCTGATGAGACCTGATAGACTAGGATCAGAAGGAAGGGGAGGAGGACCTCCCTTATCAGTGGACTGGGGGAGAGGGACAGGTTAGGATAAGAGAGGGAGGGTGGAATTGGGAGGGGAGAAGGGAGGTACAGGGAAATACAAAGTGAATAAACTGTAACTAATAAAAATAAAAATAATTTAGAAAAAAGAAGATGAACAGTGAGTTATTTTCTTATTTTAGAACCTAAGGGCAACAGGGTAATGGGTTTCCTGTTAAGTAAAAAAAAAAAAAAAAAAAAAAAAAAAAAAAAAAAAGGTAGAAAGAAAAAAAAAGTACTGCTACAGATACCCAATGTAAACATCTGGCTTCAGCATCCACACACAAGTGAAAACACGTGAGTATGCTCACATTCATATACTCACACACTCCCCCACATCAGAAGTACATGGCACAATGGCAAGCATAGTCAACATTAGGTTAAAAACTGTTATTAGGTGAGCTGTAACAACCCTAACTTTCCATCTCAAACATGGACTCATCTCAGCCAATATAGCTGAAGACCCACAAACCTGAGCCACTTGGTTCTCAGCCAATGCAGTATACTATGCCATGACACTATCTTAAGTTTCCAACCAACACAGTGTACTGTGACATGACACTCCGTCTTTTTTAATATCTATCAAACTCAACTATCATTCCATACAACTAAAGAACACCTATCTATTCATTATTGTATATCTAATTAACCTGAGTTAATTCAACTTGTTAACAACCCAGAAGGTTTTCCATCTCACTGACATAAATATTTACTGTTGAAACAGATAACAGATATGAAGCTGTACCTATGAACCTGTGTAAATCTGTAGAAGCATGCAGTAAAGAAAATGAAAAAGACACAAAATGTAAAGGACAGTACACTATCTCTCTCCCTTCCTTTCTCTCCCTCTTTTCTCTGTCTGCTTTGAGGTGCCCCCGCCCAGCCTTCTCTCTCCACCCCCTCTTTTCACAATAAACCTCCTTCCTTATACCAGTATGCTGCAGCGGATTTTTAATCAGTATTATAACACTGGTGTTGAAAACAGGGGCGTTCCTGGTAGCTACCCTCTGCTCAGACCCTTTCCCCTTCTACCAGCATGATTTCCCCCT